GGCGGACGCCCGCCCTGCTGAGGCCACTCGGGCGGTCCGACTGTGCGGCGCACTCTTCCCCGCGAAGGCCGCCGGGCCTGGGTTGGTGCCTCAGTGGTGCGGTCTACTCAGCCCGGAGCTTGAGCCCCAGCCAACTGTGCAGGAGCCTGCTGGGCCTCTCCGGGGTAGGTACCCTGCTCTGAAAAGGACCGCCTCGAGCTCGCTGAAAATTTCCCTGCACATTTACTAGGATGAGGGAACAAATCAAAAGCAATTGTAAGGTTGGGCGTGGTGGTGCAGGGCTCCCCTGTCATCCCAGAACTCGGGAGGCTGAGGCAGGAGGATCTCAAATTTGAGCGCAGCCATGGCAACTTAGTGACTTTGCAAGACCCTATCTCAACAATGAATGAATGAATGAAATGCCTTTAAAAGGCTGAGCCGGCGTGGTGAAGCACGCCTGTGATCCCAGCACGCAGGAGGCTGAAGCAAGCCGATCACCACACATTCGAGGCCAGCCTGATCTACATGATGATTCCCTGTCTCAAAAAAACAAAAACAAAAAACAAAAAACAACAAACAAAAACAAAAAAACCCCACAAAAACAAAATCCAAAAACCACCCTTTTAAATAAAAGGCCAGGCAATTAGCTCAGCACAAAGATCCTGTTTAAACCCAACTACCACCCCTCAAAGATGCAGTTGTACTTCCGCTGAGGGTGAAGCTGTTCTGTCTCTGACCTGTGATCTGCACTCACCGCGGTCACGGAACAAGGAGGTAGCGCCTGGGTGACCCCCAGCTACTCCCCTGGGATGGGCCGATGCAAAATCAAACAACTGAGATGAAACCAACGACTGTGCTCGCTGACGGAGACGCTCGAGAGGGATCACAAGGGCCTCGGACTCAGAACACACGACGTAACTTTCCAAAATCCAGGTTAAGGTCACTACGCTAACCGGGACAGGTATAGGAGACCGCAATACTTACACTGAGGTTTCTGACAATCTCTTCAGAATTAACTGTTCAGAAGAAAAAGAAAAACCAATTACAAGTGATACTTGACAACTGCAAAAACTCGGAACGATGCGGGCGGATGTCACACACACTGTAATTCACTGGTTCGCTTAAGCAAAAGCGACTATAAACAGAATTACATTAGTGCTTCAGAGCAGAGTAAAAGGAGCTGAGTGCGGTGGCAGTCAGCTCTAATCCCAGCTACTCAGGAGGCTGAGGCAGGAGGAGTGCAAGTTCCAGGCCAACCTCATCTCAGAAGTACACAAACTAAAAGGGCTGGGGTGCAGGTCAGTGGGGAAGCACTCGCCCAGTGTGCTCGAGGCCCTGGGTTTGAGTCCTGGAAAAAGAGAACAGACTTTGCCCGAGACTGCGCAGCCACAGACACCGCAGAGTGCACGCACGCTGGTTCCCGCGGTCTTCACAGAAAAGCCAGCAGAGGGCCGACCGTCCCGCGTGGCCTCGGCAGCGGGAGTGGGGCCCGGCCCCCCGCCTCCCCGACCCCTCCCAGGCCCGACCCGGCCCGGCCCGGCCCGCGCTCACAGCTGTGGAAGTCCTGCGGGAGGTTCCGAGCCCGGATCCGGGGAGCGGCGCCCTGGTACATGTAGAAGTTGATCTCGGGGAAGTAATCCGACATGTACTCCACCTTGTCACAGGAGGTCTGGTCCATTCCTGAGTCACAGAGACGCGCATGGAACAGGAAGAACCAAAGCAACAGCCGGGCCGGGACGCAAGGTCACGGGCCTCTCCCCGAGACTGTCCCGGAATGCAGGAGGCCGAGGCAGTCACAGACCCTGCAGGCAGCGGCCAGGCCCGGGTCCTGGAAGACGTCAGCTGTGTCCCGCCTGGAGCTCGCCCCACCCGGTGGCTTTTGCTCAGTCAAACACCCTCGAGAAGGGGCGCCCCCGGCGACTCGCTTTCTGGGCCCCTCGTCTCTTAGACGGAAGCTGTCTTTCCACAAATTCTTCCTAATTTCACCCTGATCGTTCCTAGAATTCAGTTGGGTTTTAGAGAACACGACACCCAGCGGGCTGGGGGCTGGAACATCTGCCTTGCACTACCTAGGGACCCACAGATCACACGGCCCGTGTCACGAGGACTGGGAATATTGCCCAGCGCTTCGGGGTGAAGGCCCGGGATCGTGGACAGGACAAGGGTGGCCGCAGCGTGTGGGGAGCCACGTCACGAGTTCCTTCCCACTGACTGGCTCTTGTGACGACCTGGGTGGGCAGAGACGCCATCCCTCGTGCCGCTCCGTGTGTGGCCACAATGCCCGCTCCTGGCTCTCACCCTGCTCTGACCCCTCTCAGGGCCCATGGGATGCACGAGTGGCCCTGGGGTCTGCGGCACGGGCACAGGAGCCACAGCCCAGCCCCTCAGTGGGCTCGCCCTGCTGCCTGCCTCACCTGGCTCTGAGGGTGAGCGGCGCCAGGCCAGGCTGTCCCCGCATGGAACACACCCGCACACCCCTTGAACGTCTGGGTTAGCCAAACTCAAGAGCTATGGTGGGGAGATGCAAGGGGACGGGGACTTTACAGACAAAAGGTGATGCACAAAGACACATTTTCCAATGTAACTTAAAAAAAATATGCAGCCAAGTGTGGTGGCAGCACATGGCTACGATCTCAGCACTCAGGAGGCTGAGGCAGGAGGATCGCTGCAAGTGTGAAGGCAGCCTGGACTACACAGGAAGACCCTGTCTTAAAAAACCCATACATTACTCACTCTGTCTTTATTTTATTGAAAAGCAAAGAAGATGAAAGTCATTCGGTGTGTCAGATGTTGAAAATGTTAGTAGACAATTTTAGGATTTTAGCAGTTTAGTGTACTATTTCCCTGACTATTCTCTCATGACTCTTTATATCTCAGGATCTCAGATCCTTTGTGAAGAAGAGATACTTCCTGCAGGGATGAGGTACATGTGTTACGTGAAGGATATTTGTGTTTTTCCATGTTCGCTAAATAAAATCCTTTTTAAAATTGGAAAAATAAAAACCCACACAGAGCCTGATCAAGCTTGCCAACACAGTAAACGGAAGCCAACCACCTGCTGAAAAGAAGGCCAGAAATGTTAAATAGTTAAATTCTAACAGTCCTGTTTCTTCATCTACCACAAAATTCGCTTTGCAAGTTCAAGAGCTCCTGAGTCTAGAAATATATGTTTTAGATTATCACACTCATCAGGCATGGTGGTGGTGCTCGCCTGTATTCCCAGTGCTCAGGAGGCTGAGGCAGGAGGATCTCTAAGTCCAAGGTCAGCCTGACATACACACACAGTGAGATCCTGCCACCAAGACCAAACAAAACGATGACGCGGCGTACCGTGGTCGGCCAGCAGGACCAGGTTGACGCAGGTGTGCAGGTTCCGCTGCGCCAGCCCCTCCATCAGCATCCCGAAGGCCCCGTCCACCAGCTGCAGGGCTTGGATCACCTGAGGGGTCGAGAAGGTGAGCAGGGTGAGCAGAGACAGAGCAGGTCCCCTGGGACCACAGAGGGGCAGCTGCGGGACCCAGAAACTCTGCTCCGCGCCCGCGGCGGCCGTGCGCCTCAGAGCGCGCAGATCACGGGAGACGAGGAGAGAGACCGGAGGTTCGCAGCAGCGCCTGGGTCTCCGGAGCGAACGAGTCCGTGTTCACTTTGCGGCTCGTGTTCGCTACGTTTTTGCATTTCTCCACCCTTCATCAGATAGCGATGGCACTGACTCAGCTTTAGGGAAATTTCACTTAAGAGTAGGAAAGTGTGGCAGCCGTAGATTAGGAAAACCGTTTACTGTCTCCTGATACCATTCCAACGATTGCCTTTTTTGCATTTATTTTGTTTTTTTGTTTCTGAGACAGGGTCTCGCTCTGTAGTTCGGGCTGGCCTTGCACTCACTATGGAGCCCGGGCTGCACAACTCTTGGCCTCGAACTCGGAGCAATCCGCCTGCCTCAGCCTCCGTTGTGCTGGAATCCCAGGAGAGCGCCCCCAGCTGGCTGGACTTAATTCAGTGCTCTGAACTCTTCCCTGCCGTCAGGAGCACGGCCAACATTTCCATCTGTACCCAGCTTTCTCTTCTGAACTGACTTTTTCCTCCCAACCTTTCATTCTATCTGCAATGCAATGACTCTTGAGGCCACATTTAGGGTCACTCGTGGAGGAAACCCCGGGACTTGTCCATCCCCAGGGCCAGAGCATCATGGGAAAACGCTTGCCAAGCGGAAGCCTCCTAGCTCAGGCACCCAGACCCCGATACCCCCACGACCCTTCACTTAATCCATCACACTTTCCACAGTTCGAATGTTGGCCGGCTGTGGTGGTGCTCACCCATACTCCCAGCACACAGGAGGCTGAAGCAAGAAGACTGCTGAAATCCGGGGGTAGGGAGACTTTGGCTACACAGTGAGACTGTGTGGCAAGAACAAAAGAAACGAACAAAACGCTCTATGTGTGAGGTAAAAGTGTAGCAGAAAAACAGGGGCCCCGGGGTGGGGGGAGTTACTCTGTGTGAAGCAGTAACACAGCACATTAAAGCACAGTACGGGGGACTCAGGAATGTGACTGTGTGAGTAGAAAAAGCCAGGGCAGGCAGCTGCACCTGAAATGCGCCATTAGCGTGGTGATCGGCACATGCCTTAGGTATGTCCCTGTGTACACAGGTGTGTGTGTGTGTGTGTGTGTGTCTCCTGAGACAGGGCCAGGCTATGTCATTCAGGCTGGCCTTGAACTCACTACATAGTCCAGGCTGGCCTTGATCTTGCAGAGATCCTCCTGCCTCAGCCTCCGGAGTGCTTGGCCACTCACAGTATGCAGGGTTGGTGTTTTCAGCGTGTATGAATCAAGAGCGCCACTGCAGAAGGTTCAGTAAGTGTCTACCAGGTAAATGTTTCTCAAAGGACTCAAGCTGTGCCCAGTGAGTCCTGAGAATTTTAACTATTTCATGGTTTAAAAGGTTCTTTTTTTTTTTTGGTACAGGGCGGAAGTCAGGACCTCGCACTTGTGAGTCAGGTCCTTCTGAGACTAGTTACTCTGAAGGAATGCATATTCATGGGACGCGTCTGTGCTCAGGAGAGAGAGCATTATCTGTGCCTCCTGGTTGGGGCTACGGGCTTGCTTTGTTCTCAGACTCACGCGGGCGCTGACGGGCCCACTGCTGTGGCCAGCGGAGTCAGGTTCCTCCACGTAGATGGTGTAGAAGCTGGGCCTGGGGACAGAGACAGAGGAGGAGAGGAGAGGCCTGCAGCAGGCGAGGTGCCCAGGAGCCTCCGGTCCCCAGCGGAGGTGGCCGGGCACGAGCTGCACTCTACAGCCGGCTGTGCGCCCGACCTGTGGCTTCCCGATGCCTCTCCCAGTCCGCGCTGCTGCAGTGGGCTGGGTTCTGATGCACCGCATTCCCCACATCACTCTGGGCCCCGTGGCCCAGGCCCCCGAAGTGCCCATCAGTGCCCTGTGACTCTGCCTGCCTCAGCCTCCCCCGCGAGCACTGGCTATCTCAGCGGTTGGCATCAGGAGCAATTCTTGAAAAGTTCCCCTTAAATGGCAGTTCCAGCCAGGTGTGGTGGCGCACACCTGAAATCTCAGGTCTGCGGAGGCTGAGGCAGGAGGGTTGCTGAGTTTGAGCCCACCCTGGGTTACACAGTGAGTTAATTATATAGTGAGAATTACATAGTGAGATCCCATCTCAGAAAACAGAAAGGCATTGCCAAGCTTTTTTCAAAAACTGTCCCTGGCAATCCAGAATGGCATTTCCTCCCCCGGGTCCCTCCAAGCGCAACCTCTGTCCCCAGAGCTTTGGGTTACCTCTCTGCCTCGGGCAGGTCCAGCCACTTGAGCAGCGTGGAGATCCTCTCCTCGTAGGGGACAGAGCTGAAGAGAAGAGCACAGCCTGGTTTGAGTTGATCAAACGGGAGCCATTCCGTTCTCTCCACCCAGGCAGCTGTGGGGGCTCTGGACAGCGTAGGGGTCCCACGGCCCAGCAGCTCCTCCACCCTCCCAGCCACAGGGACAGGAGGGGAGCGTCACCACGGCCCACGCTGTGTATTCCCGTGTGGATTGCACACCTCCCACACCTACTTACTGCCCTACACCGTGTTAGAAACAGAATTCCCAGTGAGCAAAGGAAAGATTACAGCTCCGCGGAGAAAGACAAGCAGCAGACAGCAAACTAACACATAAACTCTAGGGTGTTCCACGGGCCGTGGTGACCCACACCTGTGATCCCAGCACTCAGGAGGCTGAGGCAGGAGGATCGCTGTGAATTCAAGGCCAGCCTGGGTTACATAGCGAGATGTTGTCTGGGAAAACCAAAATGCCACGTCCTCATCACTGCCGCCTGGACGGAGCTGGATCTGACGTGCTTACCTACCCGTTGTAATTCCTGTACAGGGTAGGAAAGGAACCATTGACGGCCACATCAGATCCAGGCCAGTAGTAGGAGGCAGCTTTTAACCCTTGGTACATCGCTGTTAGCCAGATCTGGAAGAAAGGGGAGCTGAGGGTAAGCAAAAGACCAGGGTAACTGGTGTGTGCCGTAAGAGTGCAGCCTGCTGGGAACAATTTTCACTGTAAAATTGGGTGCGATCTTTACAGTTTGTCTTTGTGGCAGCTGTAATGTATAATTACTTAAATATCTGCCTCCAAAATAAAAAGGCGTAGTAAGGTAGTGAGAAGCAAGTTCATTGTTTTCCAAACTGGTAAAATTATGCAGTTCTCCTTTCCCTTTAAAAGAATTACGACTGGGGGTGGTGGAAGACATCTATAATCATGGCATAGTGGGAGGCTGAGTCAGGAAGAGTGCAAGTTGGAGGCCAGCCTGGGCAGTTTAGTAACTTAGTGAGAACATGTCCCAAGATAAAAATATAGACATGCATATACATGTAAGTAAGTCCAATAAATTCAGGGGAAAATTAACATATACTCTTTCTATGTGCTTTCCTGTTTGTTGGTTGGTACGTTTCTTTTGAGACAGGGTCTTGCTATGTAACCCAGGCCTTGAACCTGCAGCAATCCTCCTGCCTCAGCCTCCCGAGTGCTGGTATCACAGCCACCATGCATGGCTCAGATTGATCTGTTTCTAATGCATCACCCAAGTTTCACCTGAGACCATTTAGGTGAACAATCATAAATGTCTAAAAGAATTCAAATGATAACGCTAAATCTTGGGGATACAGCCTCACAGTGCCACCCAGGGCAACCAGCGGGCGAAGTCAAACTTAAGGCCGCGCACCACTCACCGGCTGCCCGCCCCACCAGGCGGGGTTGTACTTCTCCTTTGAGGACAGCGAGAAATTCTTGTTGAGGTTCACGTCGTACATGTTATTGTCGATGATGCCATGGGATTCCGGATACAGCCCCTAAGCGGTGATTTCAAAACAGAGACTAAGACAAGCAACCCTGGGAAAGCACACTGAGGCACGAGGCCCGCGTCCACCCTGAGGAAGGAGGGTGGACACCTGTCCACATCAAGCGCCGGGTCTGGGCCCAAAGGCCAGGAGGCAGGGAGAGACCGGGCAGTCTGTGCTGCCGTGGTCTTCAGTGACTGACGGTGGCAGCACAGCAACTGTCACCAAAGTTTCCACATTATAGCACTGACGGGCCTTCGTCTGCGTTAGCCATAGTTACAAAAATGTATTAGATAGAAGCATTTATTTACTTTCTTTTTAGTTTTTGAGTCTCATGATGTATTCCTGCCAGGCTGGCCTCAAACTCGTGGCGATCCCCCTGCCTCTGCCTCCCAAGTGCTGGGATTAATGAGTTCATGTATGAAATGGAAGTCTTTATCGACTCAATCGTCAAAATACCAGGAAAGAACAAAATCCCCACCCCAAAGCTGTCCTCGGGAACAGGCTGCTGTTCCCAGCAGGCCTCAGCTAAGTCAGGGGCATTTCTCACAGAAGAGCGTGTCTTGGCCGCTCACACATGTGAACGACCTGGCGTTAGGACACCCATTCCTCTTCGGGCCTTGGTCCTTTATTGGCCTCGAGGTACCCAGGCCTTCCTGGCCTGAATGGAGCCATGGAACAGGGCTCTGTGTGCTTGTGACCCATGCCTATCTCTCCGCTGGGCCAAGCACTCACCGTGACAATGGTGTAATGATTTGGGAAGGTCTTGGTGGGATACACAGCTCTCATGTATTTTGAATGAATTCCACATGTTTCTGCAACAAAACAGGGCGAGTGGTTAAAAAGTTATCTCTAACTCAGGAGCACTTTTGGAGAACTCCGAACATGAAAATCTTCCAGAAACATGGAAAACCAACAAGCGTGGATTAGAGATGAAGGAAGTTGACATTCTGACCTCTCAACTTCTTCCACCCTGAAGAAAGGTCAGATTTCAGGACAGGAGTACGCTAAATCAAAGCCTGTAAACATTTTCTGTAGAGCCAGATAATAGATGTTATACTTCAGTAAACTCGGATGCAAACAAATGAGCGTGGCTGTGTTCTAATAAAACTTTATTGATAGATGTGAAATGTGAATTCACATGACTTTCACTCCTTAGAAGGCGTCCTTTTTAAAATTATTTAAAACATAGGACATTGCTGCCACATGGCCAGTCACACAAAAATCAAGCAGAATCGGGCGTGGTAGCACAATTCTGTAATCCCAGCACTCAGGAGGCTGAGGCAGGAGAACTGCCCCTAGTGCAAGGCCAGCTTGGGCCAGAGTGAGTTCAAGGATAGCCTGAACTACAGAGCAAGACTCTGTCTCAAAACAGTCAATCAGGATGGGCAGGATTTGGCCTGTGGCTATAGGATTTGTTTCTCAGCTGCTGGATCCTGTATGGAAATCACCCAATACCACAGAAACCAACATGACTGCCCAGGTAACCGAAACTTATTTGACTTCTCCAACCACATGAGCTGTGTCAGTCACACTTACAAAATGAGCTGAGCTTCCTGCTTATTTTCGGTTCCATTCCCATTTGACCTCCGAATTTCCTGTACCTTGTTGTGCGCAAAGTTTGGCATTCATGTTGATCTCATTGTTCTGCTGTTTTCAACCTGTACCATAACCCTGCTCACGGAGGGCAGAGCCCCCAGAACACAAGAGCATTTCCTCTGTCACAGCAAGGGCAAGGGATTTTCCATACCCAAATCTCACTGCCTCTATCTTGAAAAGAAAGCTTTCCCGTTATAAACTCTATGTAGCCTACAACAAAAGCAAAATTAATTGTTGGAAACAACGAATGTTTTCCCGAATAGAGACGGCTTGGTCCCTTCCCAGGCTCTATTCGGCTTCCATTGTGTCCCAGAAACTTCCTCCTCCGGGCCTCTAGGCCCACACCCAGCGCAGCACAGGGGACCCTGTGGTGGGAGGTGGAGGGAAGGGAGATTCACACAATCTACATTCGTTTAGTTTAGTTTTGTTTTGTTTTTTGAGACAGGATCTCGCTGTATAGTCCAGGCTGGCCTTGAACTCACTCTGTAGCCCAGGCTGGCCTCCAACTTGAGGCGAATCTCTTGCCTCAGCTGTCCAAGTGCTTAGGTACGGGCCACCACACCCAAAAAACAATCTACATTTTTAATGAGCAAGCACCCCAGATAATTCAAACACACTGAAGTTTAAAAACTACTCTCAGACTTGATTCACAAGGGGTAATTTAAATTAGAATAACCCTGTGTTCTCTCTCTCTCTGCAGCTTGGGTTTTTTCCTTTTCAGCAGCTACAGACTCCTCAGTCTCCAAAACACAGGTGCTCACCCACACCAGCAGCCCAGGTACAGAGGCCTCGCTCCTCAGCAGGACTGCGGAGAGCCGTGCTCTGGGGTGAGCTCTGGCCTCCCCGCGGGTCCTACGCACTTTGGGTGACAGGAGAGCCTCCACACTGCTCTTAGTGAGCGCTCCGTGCTGCTTCTGTTTCTGCTTTGTTTGCTTCTGTTCCTCGAGACACCGTCTCCCTGTGTATTCCAGGCTGGCCTTGGACTCCCTATGTAGCCCAAGATGTCCTTGTCGTTGAACTCACAGCGATCCTCCTGCCTCAGCCTCCCAAGTGCTCGGATTACAGGTGTGAGCCACCACACCAAGCCGCACACTGCTCTTTAAATTACCTCTCTCTCTTCCTCCTTCACCTCTCTCACCCTCAAAAAAGTTCAAGGGCGTAAGCTCAGTCTACCTAATGTCACAGCTCCCCTTTTCGGGTGTCTGGGATCTGTCCCAAGCTGAGCACATTCAAATTTAGATGAAAATTTATTTACATAATTTAATAGTTTAACCAGGTATGGTGGCGCACGCCTGTCATCCCAGCACTTGGGAGGCTGAGGCAGCAGGATCATCTTGAGTTCGAGGCTAACTTGGGCTACATAGCGAGAGCATGTCTCAAAGATTTTTTTTTTAAAATTAGATAGAGGTAACCTATTAAGTTATTTTACACTAAAATGAAAAATTGAATATATTTTTGGAGAGATAATATAACTTAATGGTCTCGGTATAATAACTTCATCGTAATTATTACCTTCAAACACTATGTCTGCTCTTTTTATCTTTGTTTGATGTGCCTCTTGCAAAACTTTCTAATTGCCGAACTCACAGCAATCTTCCTGCCTCAGCTTCCCATGGGTCGGGATTACAGGCCTATATCACCACGCCCAGCAAGCAGATTAACAGAAACTTTGCCAACCAGTAAGAAATGGGACAATATATTCAAAGTGCTGGCAGACGAATTTTTAAAAAATAAATTTTATTTTATTTTATCCTATTCCCCCCTCAACCGTGAAAGACAAAATTTTTAAACTGCCAACCAAGAATGCTCTACTCACTGCCGGACACGGTGGCCCATACCTGTATTCCCAGCACTCAGGAGGCTGAGGCAGGAGGAGTGCTGAGTTCAAGGCCAGTGTGAACTACCTATAATGAGACTCTGCCTCAAAAAACAAACACAAAAACAGAACAACATCCAAGTATGAGCCAGCAACAGACTCAGTTGAGATGTGAGGACATAGATAAGCTGAGAGCACAGGAATGAAAGAAGTTCCATCCAACAGTGTCCAAAAGAAAGCTGGGGTGGCTAAAGTTATGTGAGGAATGTGGGACTGCATAACTTTGTAATCTTAAAATTCCTAGCCCTAACTGCGATCACATGTGAGTTAATAGGTAACTGCTTGGTCGGTCAGGATCACTCCACTCCTCGTTTGCCCGTAACTGAATGTTCTGAGCACCACGGTCTATGAAACAATGGGTAAACGATCTGCTGACCATTAGTACGTGATGGCCGAGCACGTGACTGATGACCACCAGCTCGGATCAACTGACCACTTACCTTTGCCCCTTCCTGTGAGTTTTGAGTGTTAGCTCGCCCCACAGCCCCTTATAAAAACAGCCTGTGACTCTGAGCTGCTGCCTCTCTGAGCTTCTGGGCTCCGGGAGGGCCGTCCAGCCAGACTGATGATAAAGGTCTGTTTTCCAGCTTGTCCGGTGTGTTCCCTCCTGGGTGACTCGCTGCTCACCGAGCCCCTGGAGCAATCGCTGGGCTACAGGCCCAGCATCTTGGAGGCCTTCTCGGCTGTTCAAGCTCCTCGGAGAGGAAGTAAGGTCTTGGGTCTTACCAGGAAAGAGACCTGAAGTGAACTACTGTCAGAACAGACCTCGAAGGGCCCTGTAGAACCACGGAAGGGTCCATCCACCGACGAGACTAAACCATTCTACACGTGTGCCGCGGGTGCGTCCCGAATCAGAGCCACGCAGTCCATGAAACCACGCACAGCGGAAGGCAAAAGAGACAGCGACGCAGCCCCAACAGGAGACGTCAGGGAAGAAACCGAACTCGCTGGGCCTGGCGGTGCCGGCCGGTGAGCCCAGCGCACCAGAGGCTGCAGAAGCAGCCGGTGCGAGCCAAGCCAGGCCACTCAGCAACCCAGGCTCAACACACAAAATAGAAAAGGAGCGCGGGGATGTGGCTCAGCGGCCACAAGACGCCGAACAGCACCAGACCATGGACGCGACCCACGCTGCAGAGCGGGAGACCTGACGGACGTGCAGAAGGCTCAGCCCGCCGCTCACCGATGTGCTCCGGGACGCAGCGCCCTTGCACACCCGCGGAGACGGCTCCTCTGCAGAAGGGAAGAGAAACCGAACAGCACCAGACCATGGACGCGACCCACGCTGCAGAGCGGGAGACCTGACGGACGTGCGGAAGGCTCAGCCCCGCCGCTCACCGGTGTGCTCCGGGACGCAGCGCCCTTGCACACCCGCGGAGACGGCTCCTCTGCAGAAGGGAAGAGACCGGGAGCCGGAGCGCAGGGCTGAAAAAGAAGGCGGTGATGTGATCGCCGTGCACCGCGGACGTGGGCCGACAGCGAATGAAACATACCCGCCAAAGAGGGATCCACACAACTGGGTCACACGGTGTCTGCTCTGACTACAAGAGAATGAACGGAAGGCAAGTGAGAAATGTACAAATATGTGGAAATGAACACATTTCTGAACAACCAGCAGGGCAAAGAAGAAATGAAAAGAGAAATGTAAAAACATCTGAAGAGAAGACCACCGAAATGAGAGACTCGGGGTGCCAGAAGTTCTAAGATGCAGCAAAAGTTGCGCTTAAACTTACAAAGAAGAAAGATTTCAAATAAACAACCTACGTTTCTCGCTCCAGTACCTAACAAGAGGGGCTGGCCAGAGCGGCGCACACCTGTAATCCTAGCATTCTAAAGGCTGAGGCAGGAGATTCACCGCAAGTTTGAGGCCAGCCTAAACTATGTAGTGAAACCCAGGCTCAAAAGAAAACCCTGCTCAGGGGCCGGGGATTTAACTCAGTGGTTCCGCCACCTTGCAAGTGCAAGGACCCGAGTTTGATCCCCAGTACAACAACAAAACATACAAACATACAAAACCACCCTGCTCCACCAAAAAGTAACTGCAAAGAGAACAAGCCAAACCCCAAACTTCAGAAGGAAGGAAACAATAAAGATTAAAGATCAAAAGTAGAAAATCAAAACGACAGAAAAAAAGTGGATGAAATTGGCTGTTGGGTTTTCTGAAAGGTAATCAGAGGCTTTAACTATAGTCAGATAAAAGCTAGAAGACTCAAATTAATAAAACCAGAAAAAGAAATATGGCAATGGATACTGCAGGAAATAAAAAGAATGCTAAGAAACTAAAATGAATAATTATATGCCAACAAATGGGAAACCCATGACTGTAATTCATGGAAAAAATGACTCATGGACAAGACTGAGTCATGAAAAAATAGAAAGTCTAAACAGATTTGTAACAAGCGAGTGGACTGAAACAATAATCTAAAATCTCCCAACAAGCAGGCATGGTGGCATACGCATCTAACCCCAGCTCCTTGAGAGAGAGGCTGAGGCAGGAAGGTAGAAGAATCCTAAGAAACAAAAATGAATTATATGCCAACAAATGGGAAACCCATGACTGTAATTCACGGAAAAAATGACTCATGGACAAGACTGAGTCATGAAGAAATAGAAAGTCTAAACAGATCTATAACAAGCGAGTGGACTGAAACAATAATCTAAAATCTCCCAACCAGCAGGCATGGTGGCATACGCATCTAACCCCAGCTCCTTGAGAGAGAGGCTGAGGCAGGAAGGTTGCAAGCTCGAGTCCAGCCTGAGCAACTCAGCAAGCCCTTGTCCCCCAAAAAGAAGGGGGTGGGGTCTGGGGATTAGCTCAGCGCACAGAAAGGACAGAGACAAAAATTTTCAAAACAGAGAAAAGCCCAGGACCAGATGGCTTCACTGGCAAATGTTACCTAACATTTGAATTATTGTCAGTTCTTCTAAACTCTTCCAGAGCACGGAACACAAGAGCACTTCCAAATTTGTCTCAGGAGGCCAGCACTACCCTGATACGAAAGCCACACAGACAGCACAAACAGAGCCCTTTGGGTCAATATCTCCATGAAAACAGATGTCAGACTCCTCCATGAAAGGCTCTCAAACTGAATCCAACAGAACACCAGAAATACTGTACACGGCAACCGAGTGGGGTCTGTCGCTGGGATGCGAAGATGGCTCCACAGATGAAAACCAATTCATGCAACACACCCCATGAACGGGATGGAGGGTAAAAATCACACGCATGTCACTGCAGGCAGAACAAGAGTAAAAGCTCTCAACAATGGAGGATCAGAGAGAAATCACCTGAACACGTTAGGGTCCATATGTGCAACCCCTCGGCCAGCATCCTGCCCAGTGGTTACAAACAGAACCTGAACCTCCCGCTCAGGTCAGAAATGAGGCAAGAGGGCCAGGGATTTAGCTCAGTGGTGCCGTCGCCTGCCTTGCAAGCTGCTCAAGGTCCTGGGTTCGATCCCTGGTACCCACCCCCCCAAAAAGATAAAGAAATGAGGCGGGGATGTCCAGCCTCTCTACATCCGAAATGCATAGTGAGGCCAGCCTGCAGCACACACAGCAAAACCTTCTTAAAAAAAATTCCGTAAAGTTAAAAGGATACAAAATCAACATGAAAATCAGAAAGTTTCTATGCACTAATAATGAATTATCCAAAAAAAGAGTTCAGGAGAATAATCCCATTTATAATACTATCAAAAAGAACAAAATGCTGTGAGTACATTTACTAAGGAAGCAAAAGACTTGTCCACTGAAGCCCATAAAATATGGGGGAAAGAAAGAGAAGACACAGCCATGGAGAGTCATCTAGTGCTCCTGGGCTGGAAGACGCAATGTTGTTAAAATGTTCACCGTACTCAAAGCTTCCTACAGATTAATACGATCCCCGTCAATATTGTGAGGGTTGCTGGGCATGGTGGCGCACACCTATAATCCCAGCACTCGGGAGGCTGAGGCAGGAAGATTGCTGTGAGTTCGAGACCAGCCTGGGCTACATCGTGAGTTCCAGGTCAGTCTCAACTACATTGTGAGACCCTGTCTCAAAAAGCCAAAAAAAAAAAAATTTTTTTTTTAAGGGTTTTTTACAGAAACAGAAAAAAGTTCGAAAATTCACAGGGAACCACAAGAGGCCTCAAATAGCCAAAGCAATCTAACAAAAGAACAAAGCTGGAAGCTTCACACTTCTGGATTTCAAAATGCATTCCAAAGCTGCAACAGTTGAAACAGTAAGGTACAGCGTGGTACAGACAGACGCACAGACCAGTGAACCAGCAGAGCCGTGCAGAACTGGCCCCCGGCGAGGGTGGGCGGACACACAGGGAACGGGTGGGTCTAAGACAAGCCTGTCGGAAAACTGCAGTGTTCGCACACAGGAGAATGAACGGAAACCCGTGTCTCATTTTGTGTGATCACCACTCAAGTCGGAGTCACGGGTTAAAGGTTAAGACGCAAAGCTGTGAGGCACCCACAAGGAAAAGGGAAGGCTTCACAGCGTGGATCTGGAGCTGTGCTTCTACACAGCACAGCACAGCAAAGATGGGTGGAGTGGAAAGACGTCTGTGGGCGGGAGAAACTATCAGCAACTTAGTCTGGTAAAGGTTAACAGCTGCACAGACCAGGAACTCTTGCAATGCAACACCAGAAAACTAATAATCATAGTTTAAAACAGGCAAGCCGGGTGTGGTGGCACATGCTGGTAATCGCAGCACTCTGGGAGGCTGAGGCAGGAGGACTACAGGTTCAAGCAAAGGCTGGGCAAGTAATTTAGCAATGTAACAAGACCCTGTCTCAAAATAAAAATGAGGCAGGAGAGTGGCTCAGTGTGAAGGCCCTGCGTTCATTCCCTAGTTAACACCCAACCCCAACCTAAAAACTGTTCTGTGTTTTTGATACAGGGTCTCACTATGTAGCCCAGGCTGGCCTGTAACTGGTAGCAATCCTCCTGCCTCAGCCTCCCTGAGTACTGGGGTTACAGGTGTGCATGGACCACGATACCAGCTCCAAACACCTATTGACAGATGAACCAACAAAGTAACAGCAGTAAGACATGGGATATACATGTGCCATTCGGCCTCTAAAGGGGAGGAAACCTTGTAACCCTTAGCTAAGGCATTATACTAAGTGAAAAAAGCCAGAAACAGAAACACAAATACTGCAGGATTCTAGTCGTACTGTGTGTCTAAAAACAGTCAAAATGGTAAACATGAAATGCAGGATGGTGGTAGCCAGGGACTGGGTAGAATGGAAAATTCTGGTTTTAAGTAAGTTCTAGAGAACGACTGTGAGACCCTGTGGGTACAGATAACAATTCTGTGCTATGCTTTTGCTTTTGTTTTTGTTTCGAGACAAAATCTCACTATGTTGCCCAGGCTGGCCTTGGACTCGCAGAGATCCTCCTGCCTCAGCTTCCTAGGATTACAGGTATGCCCCACCATGCCCGACAACAATTCTGTGCTGTACGCTCAAGTTCTGACAGGGTCTATTGCATGTTGAGTGCTCTTATGAAGATACAACGGGAAAGCCAAGCGGACAGCCCCTGGCGTGGAAATGCGAGGCCTGCTGTCTGTCTCATTTTATCCGCAGGACAGCATCTCCCTCGCTTTCCCACAGCCTGGCTTCTCACCCACACCGTGTCCCTCTGTCTCCCAGGACAGAGCCCTGGTCCTGGCCCACACCCTTCCATGTCTCCTGCGCCTCACAATGGCCTCACCCAGGCGTCCAGGCCCAGCGCTCCCGAGACCATAGCCCTGCAGGGCGGGGAGGGGGCGCCCCCCCTGGCCACCAGAGCCCTAACCCCAGCTCACGCCTGCTTTCACCGGGATCCGGGTGACCTGGCAGGCGCTGGTAGTTACACCGTTACGCACTGGGGCACAGAGGCTGTTCCTCTGACTCAGAACTATTTCAAGCATCAGAAGCAGACAGCTCTCAGTGGCCCAGTCTGTTTTCATCAGTGTCATTTCCAATTCTCACCTGGATGAGAAAGCAAATCAGTTAAGGTAACTGAGTAAAACAGAGTGGTTACCTTCCCAGCCGGCGTCACACAGCAGAAGTGGTAAGTCCTGGGTTTGGAAAATTCTCAATCTCTTTGCTAAAGACCAGCCCGAAGGACAAGGAAGAGGCTGAGGACAGTGTAGCTCGTATTGCGGGGAAAGTAGAGTAGTTATCTTTTATAGTCAGGGCAGTTTTAGAGCTGGAATTGACAGAAGAAAGTGTTAGATCTAACCTTACTCTTTTTTGTTTGTTTTTGTGGGGTTTTTTTTGAGACAAGGTCTCGCTTTGTATCCCAGGCTGGCCTTGAAATCTCAATGATTCTCCTGCTTCAGCCTCCTGAGTGCTGGGATCACAGGAGTGCACCACCACTCTTTTCATTTTATGAGAAAACTCAGGCCTAAAAGTCAATCAACTTACTCAGAGTCAGACAGCTGTTGTTTCATAATTTGGAAAAAGATTTTTATTTTTTGGAAAAAAATTTTAAAAGAACATCAGTAAAATTTCATAGAGCTGGACATGTGGTACACGCCTGTGATCCCAGCACTCTGGAGGCTGAGGTAGGAGGATCGCCAAGAGTCCAAGGCCAGCCTGGGCTACATAGGGAAACTATCTCAAAACAAAAACAGATCATCGGTGTAAACAGATTTCCATAGGGCAGATACTATAATCAAATAGGAAACAAATAAAAATAAACAGAGAAAAAGATAAACCAGCTGCCGAAACAAAAGATATGGACATCTTATCTTTACTGAAACTCCAGACACCACGTGGTAAAATCGTCAGGACCTTGAAAGAACCAGCGCTGACGCTGAGAAGGAACAGCGGCTCCTCGGAGCACGGGCTGCGCCCCCTGGAGGTGACACTTACTCAGCTTGTGGATGTTGGGGAGCAGAAGGCCCCACGTGTCCAGGTACTCCGCTCGGAAGCCATCCATGGAGAACAAGATTACCGGGGGCCGATCGAACCTGCAAAAGGACACCGAACCTCACTCATGATTCTGATTTTCGGAAAATACTTTGTCGCACTGCTTAACAATTTTCTAATCAGAAAATGCTTAGGTCAAGGAATGCCCTTTGAAGTCTACCAGCTTTTCACTGCAATTATGAAATGGAATTTAGATACTAGTTTATGTGATGTCTTATGATCCTGAAGTTGTGTGTTTTGACTTCTCAGATGCTGGGATACTGTTACTTTTATTTATTTTATTCATTTTTTGGTACCTGGGATTGAACTTGGGTCCTTGCAGTTGCAAAGTAGGCAGCAGAACCACTGAGCTAAATCCCCGGCCCTTCAGTTGCTTTTTAAATCAATATTTAAGGTAAAATGATCAAAGGTAAAGTTTGGGTTATAGCCTGAGAATGTCTTTTTTAAATTTAGTATTAGCTACCTACTAAGTGGTGGCACAGACACTTCTACTCAGGAGGCCGAGGCAGGAGGATTGCCTTGAGCTCAAGGCCAGCCTGAACTACATATGAGATTAAAAACCAGTTTATGGATGTTGTATTATTCTAATAGTATTTCAATGTCTAAGTATATTGATATATAATACCTCAAAAGCATTTTACTTTTTTACATTGGTTCTTTAAAGGTAACTTTTGAAGGTACAGCCAGACTGTTTTTAAAATTCAGTGTTTTCACTTTTTGAGTTTCACCTGCAGTCTGCACGAGTGTGTGCTCACACGATGGGTACTTGATGGGTTTTTACTGACTGAACCTTGCCTTGTCCCCAGCACCAAGCACAACAGACCTCACCAGCCCTCTAGAAGCCCCCTGGGGCTCCCTGCAGTCACTCAACCCTGTCCAACCTCAACCAGAACAAACAGTGTCTGAGATTCTAACAGCCTCCATTTTGTCTGCGTTGTACTGATGTGGATATGTAAATTCTATGCAAATCAAACATGTGAATTGAACCGCAGAGGAGGTGGTGTCTTGTGCCGGCTCCCGGACTTGCCCGGCGGGGGTGCATCCTCCTGGTGATTCAGACCACATCTTTGGGCACCTAGAAACACTAGTGATGAGTAAGCCCCAGCTTGCTCTTTGTACTCCTGCCCAGACGTTTGGGGTTTTTTTTTTTTCCCAACTTGAGAGTATTACAGATAACAGCTAGGTACACAGCTGTCGGGAGCAGTTCTACATAATCTTTGGGGAAAAGCACCATTAGGGCCTAGTTTTCCTGTCTACAGGCCAGCTACAGGCAGGTGGAGACAGAAGTCCATCTTCGCCTCGGGTCACAGCTAAGACTCCAAGGGTCCTGAGTCCCTGCCACGCTCCAGGGCAGGACCACGCCAGCTGGAGATGTCCTGGGAGGAGCCCAGTCTTCATCTGCAGTTCCTCATTGTTCTAGGATTTCTGCCGCCTCCTGCATCTTCTGTTACAGTTGTCTCTCCCAGTGTACTGAACAGTGTGGCAAGCTCTGGGACCTCAGTCTTTGCCGAGGACAGCAGCACTGGTCAGGCCAAAAGCTCAGCTCCTTCTCAAAGTCTCATTTTTCCTATCTTTCCTGTATAATAAGTGAATTCACCTTTGCCGTCCTTGCCCCGCAGGAGACTAGGACATACTACAGAGGTTCTAGTAATGTCTCCTCTCCCTGTTCACTACGCACAGTTGCTTTGTTTTAAATTCCAAATATAGAACAGCAGATGAGCATGCCTAAGAAGTTATTCTCAACTCTGCCCAAGCAGTTGTATTATCTAAGCTTTGGACAAAAATGTATTTTTCTAAGAAATTTGATTAGAGCTGGGCTGTTAAAATTCTGATAAAACTGCAAATGTGATTTGAGAAAATTCTAAATGCTGATGCCAGCTTAGGATGTGCTGTTTTCCTGCGTGCTCAAGTAAAGCTAGAACAGGGCTGGGGATTTAGCTCAGTGGTTCCGGCGCCTGCCTCGAGTAAAGCTAGAAGTATGGGCGTCGCCCGCTAATTGTACATTGCACACAGAACTGTGAAGGAGAGGTCTGCCCAAGCTTCCCAGAATACATTTATTGTAGAGTAATTCGTTTCACAAATATCTGAGTCAGGCATTGTGCTGGGTGCTAAGAACAAATAAACAGAGGAGTCACAGTGCATTCTAGGAAAGGAGAGTGAACAGTACACAGACACACTTAAGGGCTACCTTTGAGCATAGAGTTCTATTCAAATGTGCAAAAGGAGGCCATCCAACAGTCTTTGTAGGTGACAGCAGGCTGCGCCAGAGGTGTGACTAAGTTCTACAGAGCAATGGATCCAGCATTTGGGAGGCTGAGGCAGGAGGATCTCTAAGTTTGAGGCCAGCCAGCCTGGGCTACAGAGTGAGATTCCATCTGTTATGACTTGTGTCTAGATGTCCCACCAAAGTCTCATGTGGTCATAGATGAGACTTTTCGGAGGTAGCTGAGTCTAGGAATTGTGTGTGAGTAGTACCTGCCCTAAAGTTAGGCAGCAGCAGCTGGTCTTCTGTCCTGTGGTGCCCCTCTGCCCATGACACCCTGCCTTGGAGGCAGGCTACTGTGGACTAAAACCTGTACAAACTGTGAGCCATAAACCTTTCCTTGTTTAACTTATGGGTGTTGGGTATTCTGTCTCAGCAACGAGAAAGGTAACCAAGACAGTCTCATAAATAAAGCCAAAAAAGAGCAAGGGAAATAAGGTGGAAGGAAAATGGGACTCATGTTTTAATCAGGGAAATACGCTATGCCAAAGCCCCCGTGATAACTGCAATAACGTTCCTGAGTCTCAGAAACAGTGGGCCAGGCTGTAAAAGCCAGACCCAGGAGAGCACAGAGATAATTCTGAAACAGAGACCAAAAGGGGTTGCTTTGCAAAGTAGAAGGTTGGGAGGAATGGGGGACCCTTGTGCGGTGGTGTGAATATTCTGTGTCCTGGAAATAGTGATGGGCTGCAGGCCTATGAGTTTCCACTTCTCAGTATGCTGTATATTTGAGATACAAGCATTGTGGTATGTATGGACTGTATCTCAGTCAAAATATAAAAAATCAGGACAGCATGAAATGCAATATGTAGGAAATTCATGACAAAATTAAAGAGGCCTGGAGTTATTACTTATTATAACTGGAGTGATAGTTATTACTTATTTTCAAAGTCAGCACAATTCTGATTTAAAATTTTATATTTAATATTTATAAATATACCATCATACGTCCTTGCAGCTCAAAGAGGTCAGCTACCTATGGATCTAATGCTACACATTTTTCTTAAGACAGTGTCTCACTGTATAGCCCAGGCTGGTCTCAAACTCCCAGCTATCCTCCTGCCTCAGCCTCCCGAGTGCTAGATTACAAGTATGAGCTACCACACTTTACATCTCTTTCTTAAAGGCCTCCCTGCCTCTACAAGTGCTCTCTCTGCCTGGTCCTTCAGAGCACATTTTGTACTCTGCTGCCATGGAGATCCTTGTAGATAAAACATCCTTAGTTAGGTCCTTTGTCCACGTTCCTAAAGATTAAGTCACCTTCTCTGAGGACAGGTTCTCACAGGAGTCATAGCTCCCTACTCACGGTGCTATCAATTTAATCTTCTGTGAGCAAGCCAGGTGGCTGGTGCTTTATACAAATCATGATGCAGTACTTATTTCTGGAGTTAAAATGCTATCTTGCTATCTTGTGTTTTCCTCTGATTGTCAGTAAAGTTGGACACTGACTGGGTCATGATACTTTTGCTGCCTATGATGAAAGTTGAATAAAGGTACTCAGGGTGCCAAAAACTGTCATCTCATAACTCATATCCTGTGTCATTGTCAAAAAACAAACAAAGTAAAATAACCACATGTAAACCAGGTACTGATAAAACCCTCAGGTAATCTATCAGAAAGGGAGGGAGGACCAGGACCAAGTAACCCTTGAGGTGTCCCCTGCCGGGAGGGGCAGAGCTACTGGTGCACATCTGGCGGCCATAAGGGCCCAGGCGCATTTCTCTGCTGTGATGAACAGTGAAATAGCAAAACAGCCAGGAGTGACAACACCCACCCGAGGCAGAGGATCTGGATTTTTAGGCCAGCCTGAGTTACACAGCAAGTTCGAGGCTAGACAAGTTACAGAAGGGTATCCCGTCTAAAAACTACAAACAAGCGAAAGCTCTCCAGCAAGAGGATCGCATGTAATATAACGTCTCCAGAAACTGTTCCCAGCGAGTACTGCTTACCCTGGGCAGGATCGTGGCACGTGGGGCACACAGGGCGTGAGGGTACGGGTAAGGCGTGACGCCCGCGGTCACAGGGACTGAGGAGCACGCCCAGTGTGCCACACCCCACACCTCAGCCCTCTGTTCCCAGCGTCCAGTCTGGACTTGGCTGGTTCCAAGGCTGCTGTCACATTTAGCTCTAGCCGCTTCCTACAGCTGCCTGTGACTGTGGGCAGGACCCTCTAGGTGACAGCTACGGGGCTGACGGCAGACTCGCTGGGGAGCAGGGGCCTGGCCGGAAGAGGCGGGGCCACAGGATTTGACCCGGAAGTGCATGTCTCCCAAAGAGTCGGCTCCCTGTCCGCCCCGCCCTGAGCAGCTTTTCTTCCGCCAGGGCCCAGTGCTGTGCTGCCCTGCCTAGGAGCCGCCTGGCTACCGACTGAAAGGTGAGCCAGCGTGAACCTCTCCCTCCTTAGGCTGTAGCTGTTGGATATTTTGTCCCAGAGCCATCCTGCCGTCTTGCTGTCACCCATGTGGATTCGCTGAGCCCTTTACGCAAACCTCGTGAACACCTCGTGTCTCCCCCCACTCCCCCGCAGGAGGGAAGTCCTGGGGCCCCGCCCCCCTTCTCTGGTCACCAGCAGTGTCACAGGCTCCGACTGTCACTCGAGGAGCGCCAGAGCGGACACGCTCAGACCTCACTGCCTGGGCTGCTTCCGGCCTCAGCAGGCAGACTGTGAGCTAGGGCGAGGGTGTGTGCTCCGCCTTCCTTAGATGGCTTTCATTAGCAGGGCCCAGCCACAGTGCGGCCATGGGCAGCATACGGCGTAGCATGCAAGATGGCTGTTGTGTAAAGATTATATGGGATCATGATAAGAACCATACAGGCGTAGCTATTATTCTTATTTGGGGGCTGGGAATTGAACCCAGGGCCTTGTCCATGCTATAGCTACACCCTACCATTGAGTTGCAACCAAGTCCACCCGGAATTATCTCTGCACCACTATCAGAGATGAGTGGAGGGCATCTTGGCTGTGACCCTGAGAAAAGGCCATCTGAGGCTGTGGCGTTTGGCTCTGGGCACATCTTACTAGGTTTAGATGTCGGGTTCCCTCTGACGAAACAAATGAGGGCCAGGGATTTAGCTCAGTGGTTCCACCACCTGCCTTGCAAGTGCAAGGTCCCAAGTTCGATCCCCAGTACCAACAAAACAAAACAAAACATAACAAAACAAGCGACTGAAGAAAAATCCCACTAGGAAAAACATGTTCAATATCCTGCTCTATATCATGCACAAGGGCTAAAATTAGTCAGTACACTAGAAGAAACTTCAAGGAATGACCAGTGAAAAGCCAGGACTTGAGCTCACAGTCTTTCACTCTAAATCTGGAGTGGGCAGCTGGATCTGTAAAAAACAGAAACACTGCCGGGCATGCACCAAGGCTGAGGCAGGAGGATCACCACAAGTTCGAGGCCAGACTGGGCACTATAGTGAAACCTTGTCTCACAAAAACCAAAACCAAAGCAAACAAAAGTGTGCTCACTTTGAATCCACAAGGATTCCAATCCTGTGCTAACGACTTGTGTGGAAGTCTCAGAGCGTGGCAGGGATCCCCACCCTTACCCCCACCGTAGCCCGGCGAGCGGCTGTGGAAATGGCACACGACCGCTGTGCTCACCCCTTGGGACACTGCGGCTGCTGGGCGGTGGTGCAGGCTTCTCTCACCCAGGGGGTCGCTCCTGTAAGCAGAGATCACAGCTTTAGACCGGAGCCCCCAGAAGAGAGCAGGGTTCAGCCCGTGAGCTCTTCCTGGACAGTGACAGATGCTTCCAGGACGCGGTACACGATGGCAAGAGCAGGGCCGCTAATGACTGACAGACACCAGAGTACCAGGAAGCCAAGGAAAACTTCTGGTCGGTAACTTTTTCCCCCTTAAAGACAGTGTTTTACCAAGTGCTAAAATGCATGGATTTAATAAATATAAATAACCTGTAATGCCAGGGCCCAGAAGGCTGACCCAGAAGGATTGCAAAATTCTATCTCAGTCTGGCCAACTCAGCCACTTAGCAAGATCCTGTCTCCAAATAAAAAATTTAAACTGAGCATGGTGGCACAGACCTGTAATCACAGCACTCAAGAGGCTGAGGCAGGAGGATCGCTGTGAGATCAAGGCCAGCCTGGGCTACATAGCAAGACCTGCCTCAAAAAAAAAATAAAAATAAAAAACAGGGTTGGGGAGCCCTGGTCTCCATCCCTATTACTGCAAAACAAATACACAAACAAAGATAGATTTACAATCTGGGTAAGAAAGGAAAGCATGGAGAGTAGTGACATCAAATGGGGAAATTTTAGCAAATGCTTAAAATCTTAACACAAAAATTGCTCCGTGTTTCTCTTTCTAGAACAGTCTAGCTAAATAATGGAGAAATGACAAGATGACTGTCACCATTTACTGTACAGCCTTAAAGGATTAGGAGTGATTACCAGTGGCTAATAACCCCAAAAGCGCAAGCCGAAAAGGTGGGACAGAGTTACATCCTGCTACAGAGGATACTTGCAAAACATAAGTGAATAAATAACATCAGAATCTCAGTCTTCAGGCCTGCCTACTACTTTTTAGGAAATATATGGAACGAAACAGTACTAAATCATCCAGGATGCAATTAGCAAAACCTAGCCTGGAAAACTCTATAGGATGGATGACCCCATTTCTCCAGTAAGAAATTACAAAGAGGGAAACAGAGAAAAGGAGCATACATATTTAGAAGACAAACTATTTTAGCTATTTGCAGTAAGTCCCATCTATTTGGATCCTATTTCAGTTTTGTTTGTTTGACTCAGGGTCTTGCTGTGTAGCCTAGGCCTGCCTAGAACTCGCAGTGATCCTCCTGCTTCAGCCTCCCAAGTGCTGGGATAACAGGTGTGTGCTACCATGCTTGGCTTTTTTTTTTTTTTTCTTTCTTTCTTTGAGACAGGGCCTCACTACGTAGTCCAGGCTGTCCTCAAACTCCTGCTGATGCTCCTGCCTCAGCCTGGCAGTCTTCTAATTAGTATTGTATGGCATAAGGAGAAAATTTTGAAAACTGATTATTTGGTGACAGAAAATAATATTTTTAGATATATGAGTGGCATTATAATTTTTAAAATCCTTGGCGAGGTGTGGTGGTGCATGCCTGTAATCCCAGCACTTGGGAGGCTGAGGCAGGAGGATCGCTGTGAGTTCGAGACCAGCCTGGGCTACATAGTGAGTTCCAGATCAGTCTCAACTACATAGTGAGACCCTGTCTCAAAAAACAAAAGCAAAACAAAATTTTTTAAATCCTTATCTTTTAAATATACATAATGAGAATATTTACAGATGAATGATAATTCCAAGATTTGCTTCAAAATAATCTAAAATTTTGATAGATGAAAGGAAATGATAACTACATTTTGCTAAGAAAGGAAAAGTCTAAAACTTGATGTAGACAAAAGGACATAGGGAGGGTTGTTCCCTAAACTTCATGCTAATGTCAAGCTGGGTATTAGCTTTAAAATACATCTATGTATTATTAGTTACCTAAAGGTTATGTACCTTTATCTCGGTTACTCCTTTGGGGATACTGGGAATTATAAACCCAAGGTTTGCTGAGCTGTATTCTCAGCCCCTTTTATCATTTTATGCCCACAAACTAGCAAGCCTCCTGCATCAGCTTCCCAAGTAACTGGGATCACAGGTGTGCGCCTGCCACCCCCAACCCAAGCCATACAGGTTACTGTCACTCAGATCTCACTCAGAATAGCAGCCAACCAGTTAAAAATAAAGTGGTTCTTGTCTAATAGCAAGAAGTGGACTTGTAGAAATGCAGATAATTTATGTCTTGCTGAAATTTGCAATTCTAGAGAGAGAAACACCTGTGAAGCAAGAATTTTTTGTTAAGATTTTAAGCATTTGGGCTGGGCATTTAGCTCAGTGGTTCTGCCACCTGCCTCGTAAGCACAAGGACCCGAGTTTGATCCCCGGTACCCCCATAAACAGATTTTAAGCATTTGCTAAAATTTCCCCATTTGATGTTACTACTCTCCATGCTTTCCTTTCTTACCCAGATTGTAAATCTATTTTTGTTTGTGTGTTTGTTTTGCAGTAATGGGGATGGAAACCAGGGCTCCGCTACCCTGTTTAATTTTTTTTTTTTTTTTTTTTGAGGCAGGGTCTTGCTATGTAGCCCAGGCTGGCCTTGATCTCACAACAGTCCTCCTGCCTCAGCCTCCCAGAGTGCTGAGCTTACAGGTTTACACACCATGGCTGGCTGGGAAATTCTACTCTCAGCACGACAGAATTGGCCATGAATTGCTAAGTGCTCAATAAGTGATGAACAGATATATGGGGGAAAATGTCATACATTTTCTCTCTGTATATAGTAAAAATCTATCATAAAATTTAAAAAATTTTAAATTTAGCAAAATATAAAATGTTTTTGCACAAATGTGGTTTAAATTCCCTAATAATTACTCTGAAGATGCAAGTAATAAAAATCATTTAACATTTTTAGCCGGGTGTGGTGGCACACGCCTGTAATCCCAGCACTTGGGAGGCTGAGGCAGGAGGATCGCTGTTAGTTGAGAACAGCCTGGGATACATAGTGAGTTCTAGGTCAGTCTCAACTACATAGTGAGACCCTGTCTCAACCCCCCACTTCAAAAAAAAAAACCAAAAATCATTCAACATTTTTAAATTTGAAGACTATAATTTTTTAAGTGAGAACATTTTCCTTTATGTTTGAAATAAACTGAACTGATTAAAATAACTCCGTTGTACTAATGAGTGGTAATGCAAAACTTCACTACTTATAAAAATTACTTTTTTCTGTTAAATGCAATCAATGTTGTGCAATAAATTCAGTGGAAAACTTATAAAATGATCTTAATGACAAAGTGTGTCTTGCTACAAAAAGTCAAAAGTTACAAAATTGGAACAGAAGAATGTAGGCTATAGAAGTCAAGTAGTATGATCAGTGAAATTAGAAGAATAAAAACCTATGTTTACTTTTGGAAACTGACAGGCACACTATTTTAATGGCACAATATTCAATATTTTTAAGAGATTATAATTAATAATGTTCCTACTATAACATTTTCCTCATTTCAAAAGTTAGAATTATTAAGAGTTTACGTTTATTTATCTGAGTGTGGTGTTTGAAAAAGCCATCAATAGTTTGAAGAAATTGTGCGTTTTTTTGTGTATTCCATCAGAGGTTTAGGGATCAGTGATTTTAAAGAAGAATTTCAGCCGGCATTTAGGAGGCTGAGGCAGGAGGACTGCCAATAGTTTGAGGCCAGCTTGAACCATTTGGAGACCCTGTCTCCAAACAACAAAATTTTTTTAAAAAGACTATGAAGAGCATCTGGACCCAGGGGCTGGAGGACTTGAACTCTCTTCCTGAGTCTGCTCAGTCCCCTAAGGCTCCTTGGCCCTGGACCCAGGTAGGGCACTTGATCTGTGCATGAGCAGGTCCTGAGCCATCCCTCAGGATTCTGACACAGGTCTCAGACCACAGGTCCATCTGGCGTGGTCACCGGACTCAAAGGGCAAAGGTGGGCCTGGCTACCCTCCTGCCGGCCCACGTGGCTGGCTCCTGCACTTACACACCCTCGGCCTTACCCGGCCGCGCCCGGGAGCCACCCCGGAGACCCTGGGAAGCCACCCTGGGGGCCCTGGTGCACGCGCGGCTCTCACCTTGGCATGTGCTCCGGTAGTCAGCACAGCAGTCCCCGCGCTGCGTGCAGTCGTCTGCGCATGAGCACAGGCTGCGTTCCAGGCGCCTCTCACCGCAGCGGAACAGGTTGCAGGTCCATATTCGAGCTGTAAAAGCGCTCGGTCAGTTCAGAGCTTTTGATGCATTTTCAGTGTGCAATACACAAAGCACAAATGCCATGCACTTCTCCCTGTATTCCTGTAAGACGGTGACATTCTCTGCATTGATAAATGAAGGCGTATATGAAACAAGCTCCTGAGCACGGATGGCAGGGAAACGCCGGCCAAAGCTGCGCATCCGGTCCAGCCAGCTGTCTGCGGGTTCAGCGAGGCTGTGATCAGGGCCCTTTTCCCGCTGCAGGGTGGTCATGGCAGCTTTGCCCAGCCTGAAGCAAAAACAGCGAGCCTCAAACCTGCCTCTGGGCTCCCTCAGGGATTAAATAAACTCCACTGCTAAAAATGGCAAGAAAAGTGGAATGTGGTGGTGCGCGGCTGTGATCCCATTCCCAGGAGGCTGAGGCGGGAGGGTTGCCACAAGTTCCCAGCCAACCTGAGCTACAGAGGGAGACCCTGTCTCAGAAATTAAATGTCAAATAGTCCAGGAGGCTGGAGTAAGTTTGCTTCCTGCTGTCAGCTGCTGGGCACGAGACAGTGATTGATTAAAGTCCACCTCAGCCCGGTGTATAGCCAAACCCACTGGACAGCTGAGCGCCGGTTTTCCTCATGCAGAGTTCTGCCTTCCCCCAAGATTCGAGGAGACAAAGTAGATCAAATGCAGATGGATGTCTCTAGCGGGACATGGCCTCTGGCCCTTTCGGGAAACATCTAGACTCTGCTGTTCCATCTCCACGAGCCCCAACCACTGGCACCCGGCCCTGGACCCCTGGGTGTTAAATACCGGAAATGGCCAGGCTTCCCCAGAGGATGGCGGGCCGGGCGGCTCTGCACTGTGGAGACCAGGGCCTGGAGGGAGTTCGGAGCTGTGCTCCTGAGGCAGGGGACAGAAAGCAGGGGGCGCTCCCGGCCCGGCTCTCAGCACAAAGCTGTCTTCCCGCCCCTGGAGACTGCAGAACATCAGAACATCCTGCTCTGCCTGCTTCCTCCTCGGAGTGGGACCCACCCGTACCTATTTCCTTAACATCCTGACGGCCTAAAAATACACTCTGGGGCCAGTGAAATCCCTATTCTTAATGCTCTTCAGGATCCTCCACACTGGCCTCTGCCCAGTGCCAGGAATCTGACCACCCCATCCTGACCGGAGACCCCTCTGAACTCCCCTCCCAGCACAGCCCCACCTGGGGGCTCACCAGAGCAGCCTCCTTGGGCACCCAGCACCACTTGCCCTCTCAAGCCCCTCTCCCTGAACTGCCCCTGCCCACGACCCTACAGAGGACCCATGGCCAGTCCGAGAGCAGCTGGTCTGGTCTCTAGTGCCAGAGCAGCCCCTCAGTTTGTTCTGCAGTAAACCTGGCCTGTGGAGCTCCTACCTGTTTCTTCTTCCTAACAGCCTCCGCGCGCTGGTTGTACTAGTTAACCCTCCCAACAACGGTCCTGTCATCAGCATTGCAGATTTTTGCTCTGTTTTGTAGCCCAGGCTGGCCTTGAACTCAGTGATCTTCCTGACTCAGCCTCCCTCATGCTGGGATCACAGGTGTGCAGCACTAAACCTGGTGCAGCATGACAGATTTAAGCCCCTCTGGTGGGCTGTGGCAACTGGGCCGGTTCTGTCTGCTCTTCATGAGTTCTCCAGCTCCTGAGAAGCGCAGTGGAGACTTAGCGACTGGGGAGCAGCCAGCACCTTATCACCCTGGCCACTCCCCAAAGTCTAGGCATGAGGAGAAGCCAGGCTGGAGCTCCCCATCCTGCGGTCCCGGGCCCAGCCCGCTCCTTGAAGGTGGACATTACTTGCCGCACTCGCCCGCTTCACTCCCTGAATGTTCCTACCCTCAAAACCTGAAGCAGGGGGGCTGCTGGGAGCCGGACACCCGGGAGAGTTCTCTGCGGCAGCTCCTTGCCCTGTGGAGTGCGCGTTCCTTCTCCTACATCCTGCCTTTCGGTCAGCACCCCCCACTAATGCTCAGTCCATTGTTCAGGACACGAAGAGCATGGGCATCCGGGGAAAACAGTCCAGCTGCCTGGTGACACTGCCACCATCTGAAGAGCACTAGATTATTACCGGCAACCTGGGACCCGGGACCAGGAGAGGCAGGAAACAGCTTTTCCCAGCCAGCACCAAGACCTTGGGCTTCTGGCCTTCAAAACTGTGAGACATTTGTTTTGGATGACTTTGTTTTTGTTTGGTTTTTTGAAATGGTCTCACTGGGTAGTTCAGGCTGGTGATCCTCCTGCCTCAGCCTCCTCCGTGCTGGGATTACAAGTATCGCCACCGCCTGGCTGGTTGTCTATGTTGTGAGCTGCCCGCTTTGTTATGGTGGCCCCGGGGAACGACAAGCACACGGGACAGCACAGCCGCACGCTGAGCCCTACTTGGTTCCACGCAGCTCTTGTCAAAGTCCCAGCAGCAGTCGCGCCGGCTTTCGCAGCCCGCGTCGCAGCGGCAGCCCTCTGGGATTACAAGTATCGCCACCGCCTGGCTGGTTGTCTATGTTGTGAGCTGCCCGCTTTGTTATGGTGGCCCCGGGGAACGACAAGCACACGGGACAGCACAGCCGCACGCTGAGCCCTACTTGGTTCCACGCAGCTCTTGTCAAAGTCCCAGCAGCAGTCGCGCCGGCTTTCGCAGCCCGCGTCGCAGCGGCAGCCCTCAGCCCTGC